GTACGTACGTACGTACGTACGTACGTACGTACGTACGTACGTACGTACGTACGTACGTACTACGTCTCTCTCTCTCTCTCTCTCTCTCTCTCTCTCTCTCTCTCTCTCTCTCTCTCTCTCTCTCTCTCTCAATAAGTACCTCTAAAATGGGATGCGGCCTGTCATGCTAGTGATCTCAACTTCCTGAGGCAAAAGTCGGTAGCGAATGCCAAGTTCCGCGAATATCTTCTTCAACTCCAAAACCAGGTCTGACCTCCTGCTAGTCTTTTCCGCATAGTTCTGGTGGTTAATGGTATGTGTAACATAGAGCCCCATTTTCATCTTATTTAAGTTCTCTATATCTTTTACCACTACGCTGTGCTTTGGTTGCCAGTGCTGAGGTTTGCTCTCTAAATATCTGCAATCAACCGCCCCAAAAAAGAAAAGAAAAGAAAAGAAATAAGTACTCAATCATAATTACCTATATGAATGATTATGGGAGTACATAACAGTCTTAATGGAAAAACTCAATCTCTATCATGCAAAGCTTAGGTGGATGAAACATAGGCGAGTGTAGCATAACATAATGGACCATGGAAAGCCATAGTCCAATGCGACATCACAGTCCAATGAAATAATGGACAGCAAAGGAGAGAGTGAGAAGCAATGATGCTAATGGAAGGGGTCCCAATATCTCCATCATTGTCCATCATTTCACTGGATGGTCATGACCACAATGGACAGGCTTTTCTATATTCTGCTCATCCATTGGATTATTGTATATTTTCCCTTAAATTAAATGAAGCATGGGAAGAGAGAGAATTCTTACGACTGTATCCTGGCTTTGAGAGCTCCGATGCTTTCCATGGAAGTTGAAACATCAACACAGAACTCTACATTATCCCCCATCTCTGGGCTCCTATAAAAGTTGCTGATTGGTTTTGTCAGTAACACAGCATTTGGATAGTATATTTTCTCATTGTCGTATCGCAAGAAAATGGTCGTTAAGATGTTCATCTCTTCCACAATCATCTGATTTTGCCAAAGGCAAGAACAAATCAGCTCATATTAACTGTGAAGGGGAAAAATAAATCATGGTAATTACTCATCAATAAAAGCTAACTGTGAACATAATAGAAATACTAATGCGAATAAAACAACCAAAGCTCATGCATTACTTTCGATGAAAGAACAAAATTATTCAAATATACCTGGACTCCATCAATAACGCATCGATCCCCAACATCAAAGGGATGCATCACGAACACGAAAATGATTGATTCAAACATGGTTTTGCAAGTGTTCCCGAATATGAAAACCACTAATAAGAGCTGTGAGGATATGAAAAAGAGAACTTTAGTCGTTGCAAATCCCATGAAAAGCAGGCAGACAATTATAATAATGATTATTGCAGTTGCACTCGCTAGCTTGTGCAGTTGATTAACGGCTGTATTGGTATCATTCAAGGAGTGTGCAAGAGCTTTGCGATCTAGGTACACCTTCACCTGATCAGAACACCAAATGAATCATAAGCAAGATACTTTAGTAGTCATTAATGAATTTTATGCTATCACATTGGGCCTAATCCCATCAACAGTATGTGGAGAAAGCTAAGCAACCACAATAAGTTACAAAGAATGACAATCCTACAGGTGGAAACTAAATTAACATATGAAGAATGCTAACCTTTTTACATAAGAGAGCTTAGAGCTATCAAAAGGCGGGCCAGGTTAAAGCATTAAGCATGAGAAATAACTAGAGATGAGCTTCACCTTCAAAGAACTTGAGCTAATAGAAAAAGGGAGCACCTTCAGCCAGTCACTTCTTGTATTAAGTTACAACTTCCTTTTCAATCAGCAAAGGCAAATGACCAGAGTACATGCAGAATTCTAAGGAAGATCTCTTGTTAAGTTTTTTGTCTGCGGTACAAATAACCCGCAATACTGAAATTCAGGAAGCCAGCCAGGCTCCTTTCACCTCTGTTTTCTACTCTGAATCAGAATAGACAACCCAATTAAAGGGGAAAGTACCAATCAGAAACATATTTGATCCGTTATAACACTCTGTAATTTACGTATGACTAATAATATATGGTCAGGATACCAGATTTTCTGGATGCAAATACAGCTTCGATGGTCCACTCAGATGAATTAAAATCTGAAAAAGCATTTTAATTGATGTCTGAGATTCATCAGGGTAGCCTGTGATATGGGCATTTTGCAAGAGCATTTGAATTGATGTCTGAAATTCATTAGAGTAGCCTGAGATATGCGCATTTTGCATTCCTAGAATATCACCTAAACAGGTCTTATCTTAGATTTAAACCAAAATACCATGACCTTTTCCAAGATAATCAAAACAGGACTTCTTTCCTGAAATGACTATAGTACCCATAACTCATCCAAAAATAAAAAACCTAATACCCTAGAATGGCAGACCAGGCTTCGTGTAGCCGAACCCAATTAGTTGAGAAAAGGATTTGACGATGATGAAAATCCCTCTATCAAATAATGCTCCATTACTACAAATTTTAACAAGAATATAGGGATGACCATTTCCTTTTCTTTTGAATAAAACCAAAGAATCCTCATGGTTTTATTAGAGAAGAGTTTGAATCTTCTGACCATATTTTTCATTGCTTGAAAGGAAAGAATAGGTTGTACTTTTTTATTTTTTATCTGAGCAAAACTACAAAATCCTGATATTGATAAGTTAGGAATTCAGGTAAAAGATCAATCTGGAAATCATATGTACAAAATAAAATTTTAGGAAAGCCCTAAACCAATGTTAAATCCTCTTCATATGCCGGATTACTAAAATAAAATGAAGCAAATTCAATCATTTTAACAAGAATGAGAAAAGGGGTGAAATGATTTCCTTTAAAATCCTATACGATTATATTATTTTTTCTAAAATTAAACAAACGCAAAAAACTACTAAAGAGAGAGATATCAGGGACTTTAGCTTCCTTTACACTTGCACCTTATACAATTGTTATGATTTCAAACTAGTGTAGCACACTGGGCACTTAGATTAATTAGGAAATCCCCCAAATGAATATAATATTTAAAAGAAACAACACTGACAACATTATTTTCTGTGTTTACGCTAGTGGGTATAATAAAATCTAAGTATATTTCAATCATTTGAATGAAAATGAAAAGAAGAAAACAGTGACTTCTGAATTCAATATAATTATAAATTGTTCCTGAAACTAAACAGTGACAAAGGAAAAACAGTACTGAAAAAATATCAGTGACTCGAGCTGTCTTTTCTTCTTATATACTAGTTATAGTCCCAGAATTCGAAGTCATGTCAATCATTCGGAAAAGAATTAAGAAATGAGAAAGGAAACTAGTGTAGCATATGGGTCATTTCCAGTGATGCACCCAGGTGTCGAATTGATTCCCAGAGGAAGAAAGGAAGAAAGAAATTTCAGCAAAAACCCAATAAACAACACCCCAGAATGCAAAGGCCAGAATCTCGTACCACCCAGTTCCTCAGAGCCGATTTCTTGATCTTCCCTGTCTCTATCGCCCCTTCAAACTGAGGAAATATGCTATCCACCTCATTCTTCCTCAAGAATCTAAGCAAATCCTCTTCTTCAATATACCTACACTAATTGAGACAAGAAATTCAAGAAAAATTCAAATAACAAAGCAAAAAATTCAAAACACCACTTTACTTAAAGGCTCCCATTCATTAATTTGCTCAGGCAACCCTAGTTTTTCCCTTTCTGTGATGCCATTCCAAATGTCTGAATTCCTAGTTTTATATCATGTATGGTTGAACTACAACTTTTTAAAAGCATACAAGCACATCATGCATAAGCAACCCCACAAGCAATAGTGCGTGAGGGCACCCAGACTCACATACACACTGAGCTTATCCCACATCCAAATGGGCACATGCCGTTTGAAGCATAATCTGTATTACGATATAGCAAGATAACATAGACTAGCTGCATATTTTCAAATAAAAAAAATAAATGTTGGAGACTGAAGTCATGATAGACCAAGTGCAAACCAGCAACAGAAATAGCCAAAACCACATACAACAATGCAATCAGAAGTAAAACACTGGTTTGCAAGCAAAGGAGATAAGGCATAGACTCATAAAGACCAAAGGAGTTGTCAACTAGGCCTTTGCCCCAATAGAAAGACACTGGTTTGCAAGAGAGAAGTCCAGGCTTCAAATCTCCCTAACGTAAATCATGTTAAACTCCCCAAAGAAAAAGACCTAAGAAGATTGCACATGGAAACTAGAAGCACTTGCTACAATTGAGGGTGCTCTGGATATCTTCGGATAAGAACACAAGGGAAGAGCAAGAGAAAGAGAGCTTGTATTTCTCCTCATGTGTGTTAAAATTATATAAGCTTAAGCTGCAGAGCCCATCCAAAGTTGAATAGTATGATAGCTAAGTTTTACTGTTGATCAACAGATTCAGAAATTATCCTTACGTAGACATATAACTATAAACAGATTTATCTAGGCAAATGCATTGCCTCAAAATATACAAATAAACAACACCAAAGTACATTGCTAAAATAGTATAACCACACAGAAAATGTGGTGTGTGAAGGAAGTGAAAACTCAACTATTCAACCCAGATAAAACTGATAAAATTGGTCTGTCGAGCATACAGACAAACAGATGTCTATCTCTTTGTTTTGGGGGGGAATGGACATACAAATGTCTATTGAGCACAGATACATACATACATATATACATAGAGAAAGAGAGAGTGAGATATACTCACTTGGAACCAGGCTTCGCAGCATTCCTGAATATTCTATAAGCAGCAGCCTTGGCTTCCCACTCGCTGTTGATCTCCCTCTGCTCCTCCTCATCCACTGACTCATCAAGGGCATTTGAAATAGTAGACAAGCCAGAGCTTCTTATCACATTAACCATTCTCTTCATAGTCCATGCCGATACCTTGTCCTGCTCCATCTTATGGAGCTTATCCACATCTATTACCCCATCTTCGACCTTCACTTTCTTCCCTTGTGCCCCAGTTCTAAAACTCAATTTTCCAGCACTCCTAGCACCATCACCACCTTTACTTAATGTCTCCTGTAACTCCATTACAGGAGGCCCTGAAAGAGCCTCGAGAACATATTGATGAAATATAGATTCTTGAATTCTATCGAAGAAAGTGTTCACATGAAAAGAAGACGCCAACACTTTTACCAGAAGAGTTTTAACCAACCAAAGAGCAGCAGCAATAAGAAAGGCAACCAGAGCTCTTGAAACATGGGATAGGATCTTGTGGCTCTTGGTTGTTCGCTCTACCTTGTCATCGAATAAGAGAGACCAAGCCAGAAGAATAAGCCCAAGCCAAAGGCATTTTTGAACACTTTTCCTCAGTCCATATACAAAGTATAGCACCTTCTTTCTAAGCATGAAATTTTGCTCTATGAGCAATACCAGAAGGGTGATGAACCACCCTGAAACCAGTCTTCCACAGAAGATAACAAGAACCATTAGACACCATTTCCATATTTCAAGGCCCCAGATTGTCCGGTCCTTCAATGGGTTTACAGTTAAGCTACAAATTAAGCAACCCGTTATCAGAATAAAGGCAGTCCACTCTACTAAAACCCTGATGCTTGGTTTCTTTTGCCATGGCTTTTTACCAGGAAGATCTTCATCTTTGTATGTTTCTTCTTCTTCCTCATCAATGACAGAAGGAGTAGTGCTCTTTGGTGTTCCTTTTACACCTCCTTTTGGTGAACTTCTGAATGGTGAGCTTATACGAGCCCTAATTGTACTTTCTCGAGGGGTTGAACCCCTGTATGGTGAGCTTATATATTCTTGCTTCTGTTGAATCAATGGAGCATTTAAGGTTTCTTCTGCAGAAGATGGGTAGCTGGGTTCTACAAACCTAGATTTTGGCTTTGAAAATACAGACCTTGAAAGAACTCGATTGGGAGGATTAGTAGGCTTGGTCTCTGGACTCGACTTTGCCTTCTCTTTATGGTTATCTACTTTTGGCTTTGGTTGATCATCACAATGAATGTGAAAAGAAGCAACAGAGTCTTTGGAGAAGGAGCAGGAGCCATGAGAGTACTGTGAATCTCTTGCTGTGATCAAGTTCTCAGCTTCTGTGTTTTCAACTGTTTTTTTTTTGTTCGACACATCGCTAGGTTTGTCTATGAGTAAGACTACTTCATCTGCAACTGGTTTTGTTACCCTAGAGTCCTTCACAGGCTTACAATCCCCTTCTTCTCCCTCCATTGAAGGAAGAGTCATGAATCTTGCTACTGTTAACTTCAACTTAAAGATCTAAGGTCGGAGTTTGGAGTAGTATTTAACACTGGTTAGATATAACCAACAAACTGAAAAAGAATAATATTAAGCTTCACTGTGAAATGAATAACGGAAATAATGTGTTCATAATACCATATGGGAGCTCTATGGAGAAAAGGGGAAGACTTTCAAGCTAAAGTTGCAGAACCAAAACGCGGGAGAATAAGGCTTAAAAACCATCAAATACCTTGCAGAGAAATGCAATGCTCTGTATCTTATGCTAGGACAGGAAAATGTTACATAAGGAAAAGGAAACCGACCAAAAAAACTAAGGAAAACAAAGCAAAAAAAAAAATCAAAGGAGAAAATAGTGAAAGTTACATGTTTCCAGTGAATGAAAGCATTTTCCAGAAAACCAGGGAAACAGATGCCTGGAGAAGTGGTTTTTGTGTAAATAAATGCCTGCAAAGTTCAAATCCAAGAAAGATAAATAAAAGGTGAATCAATTAGAGAAACCATCAAGAATATGCCATTTGTCTGCAAATCTGAGCTTTTCCAATATAGTTTTGACCGGAAGATGGTAGTTTTATCAGAAAAGGCAAAGGAGGGGAGTATAGATGATTTTTTTTTCTTTTTCCCTTTTTTTTTTTTTTGCTTTTCTCTGTGAATATGCAGGGAAGGTTCTTCTGAACAAAATGGCCTGGAAATTATAAAATGTAGATGGGCTTGAGGCTTAGCAAGTGTAAATGGAACAAGTCTGCGTCGTAAATTACGTCATTAAATGGAAAAATCTGGACCAAAACATAGAAAGTAGAAAGCATATTTGCTGTGAAATGTGCTGTAAAGTTGCAGAGCAAGACACAGAGAACGAGACACGGTCTACAGTTCTTTGGATGTATATTAATATTTAATTGATCGTACCTTGCCTTATTCCAGCGTTTTGCAGGAAAAAACCAGAGATGGTATCAAAATTTCATACTCCCTACCTAACACGGAAAATATGAACCGTAGTTAAAGCTCTGCCACTGTATTCCGGCTTTATCCGGTCACATAAATCTTCTGGCGATTATTCCGGCCAAAAAGCCACGAAAAGGGTGGCGGGAAAAACGGGAACAAGGATTTTGTAATGTTGCAGAGATCAGAAGCTCATTCCACTCATTTTTAGCCTCGAAACTGTAACTAACACAATGAAGAGCTCTAAAATGGCGGTGAAAGATATTCAAGGGACAATATAATGGCGTTGTTCAGGATGATTTCTCGGGCATTATTTCGCAGGGAAAATGAGATTCCAGACTTCAGAGAAAGCTTGTCGCCGATTCCCAGCATCAATAGTGTGTTTTCCGGCGATATTTTCGGGCAAAGATGCCGGGAAATGAAAGGGCCGAGAATGTGCAATGGTGAACCTTGAGAGATATAAAGAGAGAGAAATAATATGTAAAATTACAGAGAAAAGTGTGCATAGCTCACCGGCTTCGAACTGGATAGTCAAAGACAAAGACGCGCTAATTGATTAAGGAAAAGACGACAAAGTAACGTATTATTATTTGAAAGAAAAAGTTTATATAGACCCAAGGCTCTAAACAACCTAATTAGAATCCACCTCAAAATTTTCACTATAAGGAGTTGTTTTGATTTCCAAATATTCGTAAATTTATCATCTCGACATCAAGATACATAAACGTAAGAAAAAATGAATTTCAATTTTTCAAAATAATGTATTTTTTATTCGTTAATTTTTAATATTTTCAAGTTTTTATATACCTGCTCGATCTATACTATTTTTTTAAGCTTTAAAGTGTTTAATTAGATATGAAAATATATTTTAAAGTTATCACAAGTTATTACGAGATTAAAACCATATTTCTCGATACTATTTGAAGGTGAGATGTACTTTGATTGTTTAAAGCCTCGGTTCTATACAAACCACACCCTTATTTGACTGCAATTTAGATTCGAAAAAGTTTGCCTTGACGTGTGGAAGTGGATAGAAATAAATATGTAAAAATACAATTAATTTATCAACTATTAACTATTTATATAAGATTCAACTTTATAATGCACTAGTAAGGTGCACTTAAAAAACCACTAGGATATATGGTGTCAACTTTATAACGTACAAGTAAGGTGCGCTTAAAAAATCCACGAATGAAGGTTGTTTTTATGCTGTAAAACCCCAAAATCATTCATCTCAACCTCAGTGATTTATGGATAAGAAAAAATAGATTTTTGGTTTTAAAAACAATTTATTTTCTAACACATTATCTTGACCGTTTATTTTCAATATTTTCAAGTGTTTATAGATCAGCTTGATCATCACCATTTTTTAAAATTTAAATTTCAATGTAAAAAGTGGATTTTGTCAAAAACCAATCAAAACTAATTATTGACCGATTCGACCAGCCAGTTTTTAATTGGATCAAGCAACTAAATGAAATTGGGTTATTTTAAAACTTTATCATTTTTTTTTTTTTATATTTATTTTTAACAAATTTTATCTAATCAATTCAATCAGTTGTACCAGTTTTGACTAAGAGCAATCTAACTGGTTTAGTGTTCAGTCCGATCTTGATGACTTTAGTTGTAAATAAGTAAAATGTTAAATAATCCATCTCCCACTAATATTTTGATAAGTTTCCCTTAATTCAATTGTTTGTTTATAGGCGTGTCCCTTCCTATATGAGTATCACATTTCACGTGGGCTGCACTCATTTGAGACATTCTTTCCCCTCGTGTTTATGAGGGAAACTTTGACGTATTATGGCTTTAAAAGAAGAGTGCGATTTCTATGAGGTTGAGGGTATAAATAATTAAAGTAAGCGCACCTTTAAATAATGCTAAAATATATTGTTTTAATATCATAAATATTTATGATGTCTTGAAAGTCTATTTTTATCTTTAATTATAAAATTTAAATATTAAAAAATAGTGTAGATCGAGCAGACCTATAGACACTTGAAAAACTTTAAAATTGATTGTCTAGATGATGCATTACAAGATGAATTACTTCCAATACTTGAAGTCTATTTTTTCTCATATCAGTAAATCTTGAGGTTGAGATGATTGAAAATGGAAAAAGTTTATAAGGCGCCAACTCTACACTGTAATGTGTACCACAAAAAATCACCAAAAAAAAATGTTTTTTTGATATTGGAAAATCATCGAATCCACATTTCAACTTCGATGTATAGATATGAAAAAAATAAGACTTCAAATCCGAAAAATAATACATCTTATAACACAACATCAAAATAGTATATTTTCAATATTTTTATGTATTAATGGATCTAATCAATTTACAGCAATATTTAAACTTCATAACTAAAAGTGAAAATAGATTTTTATATCATCGTAAGGATTCTCGACCCGGAGCTGCATCTTCTAACAGGATTTGAAAGGTGTGTCTTACTTTGATTGTTTAGACCTAAATTATACTAAGAGCCAAGTTTGGGCCGCCCATATTTTATGCAAACAATGAGTGGCACAATAAAAATAACCGATCAGTTTACACCAAATGGATTTTGGGTTGAATAGTATTCATGGGACAACTGGAAATCACAAAATGGCAAATTCCATGTTTCCTACCAAAAACCTATGCTAATGGGCCCACATTTACAGTGTTTATAGCTCATCCAGCCACTTTTCTTGGCCCGGAGTTTTGTGTACAAAAACGTGCACATGAACGATTGATCATTCTGGCACCTAGGCAAAGTGCAAAGAATAATGGTTTTTAATTTCATACCTTTAAAGTTTTGGTAGAATTTTGGTAGGTTTCATATTTGAAATCAAATATCGAATTCAAGAGACCCTGACCAAAATAGGTACGGTGTTTATATCTCAGGATTAGAACCGGAGTCTGGCACAGTTAGAATCAGTATGAACGTTGGTCCAACTCGTTGAGCAAAAAGGAAAAAATAAATAATACAATAAAAAATATAGATATAGCTTTCAAATATAAAATATATTTAAAGGATTTGTTCAAATTTATTATGATGTACCAAAATCGGCTACTGCAAACAGCTAATTGATCAAGCATTGATTTTGACCGTTTTAGCTAAACATTTTTTTTCCTTCAAACTAAATTAACAAAGACATTGATGGGTTGTCCGACCATACGGACTAGCCAATCGAGTCCGATCTAACTACGGCTTACATTAGTGAATAACTAAATTGTCCAACTTAGGACTTGATTGTATCCAACTAGATCAATAGACTAGAAGTTCGGCGCCAAATAACTTAAAATCACACCAAGTTTATGGCACTACAAAAAATAAAAGCCATAAAATACCATTATATCCCATTCAAAATTTGCCTCCGTTGGTTGCATGAATCGAAATCAAAATCATAGCCCTAGTGAGTCAGAGCGCAATTAGGCTTGGGCTTGAGTGATTAGCAGTTGACGCACGCTGGTAGTTAGCGACTTGACGCATCAACCCCAGCTCAATTTTGACTTGGGTTTGGGCTTGAGTAGTTAGCGACTTGGAGCTTGATTTCAATTTTTCAAACACTTTTACGCTGTAGTTAACATAATGTTATCAAGATCATATTAGCTACCGAATTGTTGCAGGGTATGGTTCAGTCAAGTCCAATTACCGATTAGACCATTTTTACAAAATAAAAATAAAAATAAAAACAATACTTAAAATACATAAATTATATTAAAAAAAATACCCAACTTTATTTAGCATGTTAATTTAGTCAAAACTTATTGGTTCAACTGGCTAAAATTAGTCAAAAAATGATTTTAACAAGCTATCGAGCAAATATGAAATTGGCTTTTGAATTAGACTGGCTGAGGCATTTGTCCCACCTTAACATGCATTTTCTAAATTGAAATTAATCTTCGTTAAAAAAATGTGAATGTCTTGTGAAACCTGGCTCTAAATTTATAATGTATATGAATATTTTTACTATTTTACCGTCGCCATTATATGGAGTTAAGGCCATATTTATTGGATGGAAAGCGCCCTACATGCCATTTGATGAAAGCTACATGTCACACTATAGGGCCATACACCGTCGTTCTAGATGATAGACTGCTTAGATCAACATTACTCTCACCTATATTCACCAAGAACTATAGCAACTCTCCACCATTTTACCACAAGCATGCTACAAATTAAGAGTGCATAGTGTATTCCCATTACTCATTTTCCAAATTATTGAAGACATCTACTTGGTTTGGTTATCGGTAGCATCCTAAAATCCGAAATGGTGGGGTCGATCGTCCATCCCACATATCTATATCGGATCTTTGGACTTGTGAGTTGAATCAGTTCAATTTGGTCAGACTCGGTGATCCAATAAATATTTAAAACAAAAGAAAAAAATCAATAAGGATTCATAGGGGGTGGGATTAGAGGGGACCTAATAAAACAGTAGATAAACTAAAAAAGTGATGCAAACAAAATATTAAAAAATCTAATTTTTTATTATTGTTTTTTTATTTTTTTGTATTGGTTAGAATTTTTTTCATGTGGGATGGAAGGTGGTGGACATTGAATCTTTTGATGCATGAGTTGTTTAATAATAGGGTAGCAATTGAGTGTTTTGGAGTTATGATTGGTTTTAATATTAAACAAATGATTAAGTTGGTTGGTTTAAAGAGATAAATATAAATTATGTTTGATTATAATAAGGCTTACAATTAGGTAGTTTGATAAAGTCTATATGAATTTTAAAAAGAGTTTGTTTTTGTGGGTTATTTATTTATTTACTTTTTCTTCTAAATGTATTTAAAGGGAAGAAACCACTCATTTGTAAACAGAGATCGTTGGTAATCGAGTAAATAATTTGATATTATGAAAAGTTATTGAGGTGTACTCCATTGCAGACCCAAATAGAAAGTATAATATTTTAAATATTTTTTATTTTAGTTTTTATTTGTCTGTTATTAGTTTCCCCTTGATCAAAAGGTAAATCAGACAAAATTACAAAAGGAAGGTTTTTAAGAGGGGAATCGGGCCGGGATTGGTATCTTTTTAGAATATGTTCGGTCCCAACGAACTCATGGTCTAGATTTGCGGTTCACAATTCGGATATGTGGGTTTTAAAGCAAGGGTTGTAAGAGATCCTATACTTTGCAATATGATATTTATAATGCATGGAGAAATGGTACATCTTTACCGTCATTACATATAATGGATGGCGGAATCCACACAATAAAAATGGAAAATAAAGTACATCATAATAATTTTGAAGGGCATTTCACATCGACCGACCTTAGCTCAGTTGGTAGAGCGGAGGACTGTAGTGGGTTGTCCTCAGATCATCCTTAGGTCGCTGGTTCGAATCCGGCAGGTCGGATCATTCATTTGATATACGGTGTTTATTTTTTTATTATGGGAAAACTTACAAATATTCCATTCCTTCTGTTTTCCATTGAAAATATCCTTACTTTATTTTGGAAAAAAATAGCAAACCAATAAATTTATTTTGTAATGAAAAAAATTGCAAAATTTATC